TGTGTGTGTATAATATATATATATATATACTATATATATATATATATATATATACACCTTGCTACGTGTACTGCGTTAGACTAACCGAGACTTGTCATTTGCACTTATATATTGTTGCTCTTTTGTTAGTTTTGACTGCTTTTATTGTCCTCATTTGCAAGTCGCTTTGGATAAAAGCGTCAGCTAAATGACTAAATGTAAATATGTTTACTCATGCAGTATATACACACATATGTAAATATGTATTTCTTTTATTTAACAATCATTTATGATATACATGTTTAATATTTCAAAATTCACATTTATATGGTAACATCTATACAGAGGTGGACAAAAGTACACAATTCCATTACTTGAGTGAAAGTATAGATACTGCCTGTCAAATATTAGCCCACCCCCACAAAAGCAGCTCTGGCAGTGTGCACACATCTCTGTGTAGCCATTCATCCACATTTGAACTAAGTGGACTGCTGTAAAATCCACTTGGTTCAAATGTGAAATTGTTGTAAATACAGACTGATAAGAAAAAAAATAATACCTGCTTTAAACCCCAGCAATACAACTGTATAACTGTACAACAGCAACATTGCTTTAACAAAAAAGCAAAACAGCAAGATTTATTTGACATCAAAACAAACATTCAAAAATGCTCTCTAATCGCTCTCGACGCACTTTGATGTCATATACAGAACAGTCTGTGCAGTGCTGCTTCAAGTCAAACAACTATTGTGCTTTGTTAGGAGATGCACAACAGTTCTCCTGTAGCTTTATAATATTTTCATGTACACAATTTTGCAAAATCGGACAATATTGTGTCTAATATATACCACAATATTAACTTCTTATTATTGAATTGTTGTAAATAAATATCACATTTGCAAATGGTCAGTGTTCAAAAAATGCTGGGAGGTCACTTCATGTAGCCTTACAAGAGTGATTACTGATAAACTGTCTGAAAAAAAGTGACGTTTTAGAGAAGGAAAAAAAATCACCCACTGACTTTCAAAGCTGCTACATAGTAACAACTTTCTACTTCGAGGACCTTGATAGAAATGTAGTGGAGTGAAAAGTATGTTACTTGCCTTTCAAATGTAGTGTGAAGTTAAAGTCATAAGTTTCCAGAAAAATAATACTCAAGTAAAGTGTACTTAAGTACAATTCTTAATTAAATGTACTTCGTCACTGTCCACCTCTGCGATCAATGTGCAAGATATTCAATAAAGGATCAAAAGTTATGGTTACACTTTATTTCGATAGTCCACTTTAGACATTCTATTAACTATAAGTAACTTTGTAACTACATGTCAACTACATGTCAACTAATTATCATTAATTTGCAACTACATGTCTACTAACTCTCAGAGTAGACAGGGTAGGTTTAGGGTTAGTAGAATGTTGACAAAGAAAGTGTTAGAAGATAGTCTTAAGTGTTAAGCAGACAGTCTACTAATACTCGACTAACTGCTAGTTGACATGTAGTTGCAAAGTTACTTACTGCTAATAGAATGTCTAAAGTGGACTATCGAAATAAAATGTAACCCTATTTACTAAGTAGAGTAAAGCATTATATGAGACATCCTCATCTGCATCAGTGTGTGTGGTATAAGATTCTGGGTGTTTACCACTTTCTCTGTCCAGCTCTGTAGCCCAATATTGATCTGTAAAGTGAAGCCTATATATTAAGCAGACAGTCTGCTAATACTCTACTAACTGCTAGTTGACATGTAGTTGCAAAGTTATTTACTGTTAATAGAATGTCTAAAGTGGACTATCGAAATAAAGTGTTACCAAAGTTATGAATATTAGATTTATCCTTGTCTTCAGTTCTATATCAATATATAGCCATATATTTTCAATGCATTGCTGTATATTGAAAAATATAAGCACTAGTTTCCAATGTATGGAAATGTATTATGTAATATAACGCATTATGCAGTATATTCCCATATATTTTTGTTCCATAAGGGTTATTTGACCTGACTGAGAATACGAGGTATCAGTTTTCTTGAAAATTATCACACACAAACTATTATGAAATTGTTAAGCTAAGTGAAAAGTTTTTGTGCAAGAGATTGGTGTGTATGTGTTGATGAAAAGATAACTGCAGAGACTGGTGTGTGTGTGTGTGTGTGTGAGAGAGAGAGAGAGAGAGAGAGAGAGAGAGAGAGTAGGAGGGCACTGTAGCCTTGCATAGCAGTCATAGTGGTTTTGGTAAAGGAGGAAAAAACAGATAGAGAAAATGGGAGAGAGTGCATGAAGGAGTATTTTTATATTCTGTCAAGAGTTATTGTGTCTGAACTGGACCAGGTCAGAGACAATGTTTTGTCCCTTAACTGATCTTAAGCAACTCAAATTACAGAACATCGTGATGTTATATTAACAAAACCGTTTCACAGATAGTTTGGCCATTGTTGTCATGAGTGCTGTCGTGGTCGTCCATGTGATCACCTCATCCCTGAATCTTATCTCAGCCCGTTCCTGTCCTCTTCCACTTCACACACATCCTTATCTGCAGCATAGATTTGCTCTGACCTCTAAAAAGATGCATGTGTATGTGTTTTGACGTCCAACTTTATATTTAAGTCTAAGACAGATGTTGTTCTATGAAGGTGCCCACCCTAGTAAAAAAGTTATATATTTAAAATGCATTTATTTCATACTAAGTATAGTTAGTATAGTTCAAACCTATTAACATATTTACTGAGAGATAACTCGAGACTTACTGATATAAAAATTATAATTAAACTTTATTTGGCATACTACATGTGCACAATGCACATTTCTCTTAATATTAAGTCTAAAATGTGTTTTAATGTCACTTTTGATGAGGATTGTATGATCTTTGAAAAATATCGGTCTTCAAATTCCAAATATTTAAAGTGTACTTTAAGCATACTTGCAATAGTTCCACTTTAGCACAATCAAATATACTAAGTATATCTTTAATTGGACTTTAGCACTACTTCTGCACAATTAAAGTGCATTAAGTACAAAATTAGTTAGACTTCAAGTATACCAGTTTAGTGTACTAAAAGTACAATTGCAGGACATTTTATTAAGTACATAAATATGAAAATGAATTTGTAACATACTTAGCATGAAATAAATGTATTTCAAATACATTTAAGTATATTTATTTTTTACTAGGGCAGACAGAGTCTGTAATGTCGAACTTCGGCAAAAAATATAGTGCTACTGATTAACGCAAAGAAATTCTTTTGTAGACATCAAACCGAAACGCTTGAATTTTAGGACCATGTAGAAATGAAGGCATGTGTGCCAGTGCCTGTATGAGCATTTTCATCTGTGTCTGAGTGTATGAATGTGTGTGTTAGTGGGAGTTTTAAGTATGAAGGCCGTAGAGCAGAGCCAGACTCAGGAATAGTTCAGATAAGAAAACTTTAACCACCTGGAGAGAGAGAGTGAGACACCTTAAGCATTAAGTACTAACATTAATTAGTACTACAATTAAAAGGGTATATTAAAATATAAGTGGTTTAAATATGAAAGCTAATTCATCCTTGATGACAGTAGCTGATATGGGCCCAGGGACATCTCTGTGCACCTGCTGTTGACAGAGGAAAAACTATGAAAAGTGGCATAAGAGCCCCCAAAATCATCCACGTTACTGCCTCGAGGGGTTTGCCTTAGACCGGCAAAATAGACATAATGAGAAAAACAAAGATACACCAAAGAGGACCTGAAAGAAAACATATTTTTATTTTTACTGATCATTGTACTATTATTTTGTTTTACTCAACTGACTTCCAAACCTGATTTGCTTTCTGGAACACAAAAGATGTATGAATTTGTAAAGAAAATGAAGATGTGTCTCAGTATGTTTTTTGTTTTTTTGGTCCATACTAGACTTTCATACTAGACTTTTGTCCATACCAAATTTTCATAAAATATCTTCTTTTATGTTTTTATGAAGAAAGAATGTCATGCTGGTTTTGAACAACATGAGGGTGAGCAAATTATGTAAGAAATGACTGTCACCAAATTACTAGAATGTGTTATCTTGTTTCACATAATGACAGTAATTAGTTGCTGATCATTAGACACAATTTCCAGTGCACACTGTGAAGGGTAAGTATCACTTAGATGAGATTTCATGAATGTGTGGGCCATTTCTACACCAGCAAGCTCACTTGAGCCCTACGGTTAACATGATATATCAAGGTATGAATGTTAAAAACACTTATTTTCAACAAAAAAGCTTGTCCACTCATATAAAACCGTGGATTCTGTCATATAAATGCTAAATAAAACATCAAATGATCATACTATGCCTCAGTTTTGTTTAGTTTCTTTCCCAGAAACAGCTTATGAACTTCAATTAGGTATGATTCTGCTGCAGAGAAAGTAAATAAATACATGGCAAATTGTTCCAAAATGAGTTTTTTTGAGAAATACATGTCATGAATTTATATCAGTTGGTCAGTGCTTTTTGCACATGTCCTGCTGTCTTTTAACCAATGCTGCGTAACCCCAGCTTCAGCCTGACTGGATGTTTTATTAACTGAAAAGTTTGACTTGTCAAAATGGGACACTTGTGGCCAACACATCATGCATTAATAGGATGAGACCAAGAGATTTCATGATTCAAAACAGCTTGTGCAAGCCGAAAGATGAACAAAAACGTAATAAAAAGGAATATGCTTGCAGGTGTATCGCTGCTTTGTGAGGAAATAGTTTAACTCTTACTCAGAGGAGTTGTTGTACTCCAACTAAGCAGCAACAAATGGTGTGACATGAAAGAGTAGGTGGAGCTTATGCTAATGACTTCCACTGACCACAGAGCAGCCGGTATATAAACAGTATAAACTTACCTCACCCGCTCTGACAGCTCTCTCAGATGCACATGAATCAAAGCCAAAGAGGCTGTAGTGATCAGACTCTGGCATGAGGGAGAGACGCAGAGAATGTCTGCTGACTTTTGAGGGGGATGAGTGATATGATCAATTGAAACGAATACCTTCCCTAAACAGGAATATAATAATGTAACTGAAAGATGAGCAGAAGGCTATTAATTTTTTAGGCCTCGTACATGCATACTCTCACACACTAGACGTGCGTTGTGAAACACCCAGCCTCACTGATTAGTGCGGGCCACATCCCACTGACAGATGTTAATCTTCAGTTGTTGGCACAGCATTGACACCACAGAGAATGATAAACTTATTGCAGCTTGTTATGTTGTATCTCCATTTGTCTTTCCGTCTGCTTCTTTCTCTCTTTTTCATCTCTTTTGGGTAAAATGACTGGACTGGATTGGAATGTGTAAGTGTTTGCTTGTAAAGGTAAACTTGACATCATGGATAGACAAAGAGAGAAAGGTTAGAAAGGCTTAAAGTTGGTTGTGTATCATGTGTTTTTTGTTCTTTACTCCTTTCTCTGTTAAAAAGTCTTAAGTGTGGACTTCTTCTCTGGATGCAGAGCCATAGATGGGAAGAAAATATCAAACCCTCCTCTTTGTGCTGTCTTTTTGTAACCTTCAATTAGAGAATGGAGGAATCAACTAAACTAAGTGTTTTAGCCTGGAGAAATATTGCTTTCTTTTTTCTTACACTTACTCAACATTTTTCAAAGTTCTCCTCAGTTGTTAATAATGAAGACCAGAATATTGCATATGTCTATATGTGCATATGTAAATAAAGTTTTAAAAAATTATTTTTTGGCCGGCATGACATTTCAGTCAACTGTTAAAAAAAGCAGACTGCACACACATTCTTATTGCCATATGCATATGGTTCCATGAAGAACCTTTAACATCCATAGAACCTTTACAATATACAAAAGGTGCTTTATAGTGCAGAATATTTTTCACACTAAGAACAAAACGGTCCTTTTTAGGGCATTGAATAGCAAAAACACCTGCTCACAATTAGTGTTGCTTTCGTCGACGAAAATTATGACTAAATATCGTCGTCAACGAACCTTTATCACGTGACGAAAACGAGACGAGACTAGACGAAAATGCTGGTCATGTGACGATGACTATAATTAAATGTATAATGCAATATCGTTGACGAATAAAAACGAGACTAAATGTGGTTTACAAAAACTTTTAGTTGACTAAAACTTGACTAGACTAAAAAGAGTATGAACGTGACTAAAACTAATAAAAACTAAAATGACAGTTTCACACAAAGACTAGACTAAAACTAAAATTAAAACAGGCCGCCAAAAACAACACTACTCACAATCATTTCAAATATTTGTGGTTTTTGTCAACCACTAACTGTGAAATAGTTTTAGCAGCCACACCTTCATTTTCCTTTATTTAATTAGCGCCCGTGTGTTCATGGCTGATCAAATACCCACATAGGATGAATACTTCACACCTTTGCCCATATGCTGCTTTAGGACAATCAGAGAGACAAACTCATTTGAACCATTTTGACAAAACTCACGTTTATAGCAGCAACTCAATTTAAAGTATTGAATATTTTCTGAATGTCCTGAAAAGATGACTTATGTTGAATTATTATGTATGCCAAGTGTTTCTATGTACAGAAACATCTGGCCTGTTTACAGGTGTCTGGGTGTGATATAGAACGAGAGATTGTCTCTCTCATTTATCAGAACATTTGTCAAATGTTGGACTGGTCCCTGGGGATGAAGGAACACCAGCAACCTCAAAAACTGCTTTATAGTCTCTTACTTAAATACATATGCACATTCACTTAAGTGGCTTTACTGTCTGTCCGCTAGAGTTTGTAATGCAAAAAGTTAATCTGACCTATATGGAGATTACAGTTTTTGAGAAGCGTTATACATGGACGCACTCATAAAGATAAACGTTCATAAAGACAGTCACTTGCTTCATTCCTGAATGATTCAGCCGTTCGAACGAATCAATTGAATGAATGATTCAGTGATAAAATCAGTGACTTGCCGCCACCTGCTTGTGGATTTAGTTAAATTTTTAGCGTATAATTTCAGTTACTTAAAGGGGTCATATGATGCTTTTTTAAAGGGATCATATGATGCTTTTTTAAAGATCATTATTTGGTGTATTTGGTGTAACAGAATATGTTGACATGCTTTAATGTTCAGCGTGTTAGAACGAGCCGTTTTAGGGGGGCGTGGCAGAGTCTTAACTTTGATAAAGAATATCTCTTTGGCTTTGAGACTTTAGTCTTTGCAACTTCAGGGATCTTATCTATGCACAATCAGTTTATAACACTCCAAATAGAAAGGAAAACTTGAAATCGCATCATATGACCCCTTTAAATTATTTAATATTTCTGTATTCAAAATGTTATATTTAAAACATTAATCTCCACATGAATTTATGAATTTAATTGCACTCATGCCACCTCTGAGCCTCATTAAACGTCTGAAAATTTACCTACAAGCCACTTTTGTGTTCTTCTGTAGTAGGCTACAAATTAATTTATTAATAGCCTACTAATTTCGTATTAAAGCTTTAATCAGGATAAAACTGTATATTAAAAGCTAACATAGCATTTACAAATAACAGCATATCTAAAAGTATGAGACAACAACAAACAAAAAACATACCATTAAGAGCCGTGCTTGCACAGGTTCTGCGCGATCCTCTTCACTAATATCTCTGGGTCTCAATCAGGCTCAAATTGATAAGCGATATTGACGACGTCATTGTCAGAGAAACCAGGGCAAAAGTTACCGTTAGCAGGTACATCCCTTACGAAAAGTAACCATTTGAAAATGCTTTCTATACGTTAAAGCTTCCATGCAATTACAAATGATCTAACAAACATCGTGAAATCTACCTTATGCTGACGGAGATAAAGGTGTAAACCAGGGGCGGATCTACCGGGGTGGCACGGGGTGGCAACTGCCACCCTAAGAAAAAGAAATAATACATAGCCTATCAGCTTGCCTTATATTGTGATCTCGAGTTGCAGAATATAGGCTATTTTATATGCATTTGAGAGACGTTCTTTAATGTGATGCATATAGCCTACATGCACAGTTTGTAACTTTAATCGTCTTTTTGGTAATTCTTTGAATTAACTGACGACAGAACTACATTGTATGCTCATAGTTTTTGTGTGTGCTTTATTTATGATTAAGCGATATAGAGCGTGCGCCTCATACTGAAGAGTGTGCACCCTGAGCACAGTGCGGCTGACAGGACAGGAAAGTTTGTTTTCTGACATATAGCTTAACAACATCTCATCAGACGCAGTTCACTGTTGTTCTACTGAAGCTCATTTGGCACATGTTCCTTTCCTCGCTCGTTTGACTTGCGCCTGGCGCTGAGGCGATGTTGAAGTGCGCGTCTGAAAAGTCTCCCGTTAGATGTGGTCGTAAAGAGATACGGCGGTTGCGCGTCTTAATAAATGCACTTCTTGTCAAGAAAAAAAGCGACAAAAACTGCAGTTGTGAGTGGGGTGGCCAAGCTTAGGTCAGTGGTGGCCACTGCCACCCCTGGCCACCCCCTGGCTCCGCCCCTGCACCTGCCACCCCAGAATTGTGTGCTACTTTTCAGCCGCGGCGATGACAGAGAAACGCAAAATAATGGCAAAAACACGTCTTTTAATATAACTGATTTTAGTTGGCACTTTTTTCCCCAAACCATTCATTCAGTTTTCAAAACAAAGACACATTTCTCAAAAAGTTTAACAATGAGTAAGTTAAACATTAGGTAGCAAAACTGATGACCAGTGTTGGGCAGTAACTAGTAACTTAGTTACTGTAATAATATTACTTTTTGCAGTAGCTTGTAGTGTAACTAATTACTAATAAGATTTCAGTAATAATATTGACTCGCACATGCATGTGATGTCCCCAGTACAGCAGGCAACCTTGGAATATGGAAAAACTTACATTCAGCAGATATAAATATTGCATTATATTGATTTTGTCAGGAAAAAAGATGATCTGAGCACTGTTGTGTAATAGTGTAACTAATTACTGTTGCCAGAAAGTAATAAGTAAAGTAACAATATTACTTTTGAAATGAGTAACTAGT